CCCTTGATATTGTAGCATAATATTTTTGTTAACATTAAAAAAAAAGAGGGGGATGATCAGTTCTGCTCAGTTACTTCCCTTCAACATAGCTGTGGAATTCAGGACTTGGCTGGACAGGTCCAGAAGCCAAGGCTCTGCTTTCACCAGAAGGCTGGAGCAGCTGATACCAAGGGTCCTTCCTGACCTATACTTGCCTGTAATTTTCTGAGTCTGACCACGGAGTCAGCTAACTGTCTAGATAGCACATTTTATCTAAGTACCTCTAACACATTTAGAACCATGTCAGAGTACTCTTGAGATACAGATCTTACACTGGCTTGATTTAAGTGGTGTGAATGGCAGTGTAAAATATCAGCAAGACTGTAAAAAACCAGCCTCTAGCTGTCAGATTTCATCCTCCCCTGTGCTTTGTTGACAGCCAGGTACTGAAGGGCAATTTGAAATACGTTTATTTTAACATGAGGAATGACTAGTTTAAAATAAGTAAAGGGGATGATTAGAAAGGAAGGATAATCTCTGTAGTATCACTGAACAGTAACTCTGGAAATGATTCCTCTAGACATGCATGTATTAATACACAGTTATGCTGTGCCTGGAAGAAGCATGGCTTTGGCACTGACAAATGCACAAAACATTTTAAAATAAAACTCATGGAAAACTTGCAAATGTAGTATTTGAAAAGTAGCAGCAGATGCTGCTTTGCATTAGATGAATATTAATTATTGTACAGCTATCATTAGATGAAATATTGGTAATTCAAGTGTACAAAACTGTACAGGCTTGATATAGCAGAAAATGTAATTACAATTTTACTTGTTCTGTTAATCTTGCACTCAGTACTTGTATTTTTGAATTGGAAAAACAAAGCAGGTGGTGGTTTTGATGTATTAAAAATGAGTTTCAGGCCTGGATAATTTATTATTTAAAAACTTTAAGGAATGGATAGATACTTGAAAAATTGGAGTGTTTTCTCCAGAGACAGTTTATCTAGAACACCTGGTACCTTGCAGTGAGTTAATAATGAACATCTTGTAACATTTACTATTTGGAATTGTCTAACCCACATCTTGTTTGCTGTTGTCTAGTAGATTTGCAGTTTCTGTGTTTATGGTGCAGTTGTATATATTATGATACTTCAGAGAGTTTGCATTTTAGAGGAAGAAAGCTTGTATCCTGTGTTTCATGAGCTTCACTAGGAGTTTTTGTTTTCTGCATAGAAGGGAAGTAACAATTTTGTTTATTCCTCTAGAATGGGGATTTTGGGGAATCTAACAAATACTTGCTAGTAAAACTTTGAAAAGTAAAATTTTGTATCTCTCATTATTGGACTATTTCTTGTCTGTTATGGTAAGAGAGGTTAATTGATCAGCTGTGAGACAAGACCAAACCAGGTTGTACTTGCTGATAAAGAGGAGTAGATGCTCAGTAGTGGATCCAGTGCTGAGTGTCTGAGTTTCTGCAGGAGAAGTGTTCCTGTATGTGTGCATCTTGACTGCTACATGTACTTACCACAAGCACATTGAGGAGGGCCTGGAAATATGAGGGGCTGGCATAACTGTTTAACAGCTATTCTGTCTGTCTGCTTTGGAGGAATTACTTAGCTTCTTTGTAACAAAATTCTGTATTACTGTGCTCATCAGAAGTGATTTAATGATACTACAGCTTTATGAACTGATTTGCTGTAGTAGTCTTTGCTAACAAACTTCTGGCTGTTTGTTTTTCAGAATTTCTTTTCCATCTTCAGTTTCACTTGCCCTCTTCTGAGCTTCTCTTCAGGCTGAAAGTGCCACTTGCAGATGATTCTATAATACATGGTGTTGTACTCCAGGAGAGGGTTTTCTAGTGAGAGCTAGCTGAATTGGCAGTGCCTTTTTTCTTTCACACAGGATCACAGAATGGCAGGGGTTTGAAGGGACCTCTGGGGATCATCTAGTCCACCCCCTGCCAAAGTAGGTTCCCCCAGGGCGGGTTGCACAGGAACATGTCCAGGCAGGTCTTGAAAGTCTTCAGAGAAGGAACCTCCACAATGTCTCTGGCCAGCCTGTTCCAGGCTCTGCCACCCTCACAGTAAAGAATTTTTCCTCATGCTGGGGTGGAACTTCCTGTGTTGTCTTGTCCATCATCCTATTGCTGGGCACCACTGAAAAGAGCCTGGCCCCATCTTTGTGACACCCACCCTTCAGATGTTTATAGACCTTCTAATTGTAAACACCCTGTTGTGATACCTCATTAAACCCTCCTAGTGTAGCAACTTACAAAGTCATGTTATGTTTTGCAGGAACTATTTTTTTCAAATGTGCCACAGCATTGCACATATAGTTTTATGAATAATTTTAATATAAATTATAGAGGTGCTACTTAAGAACTTAAATATACTGATGGAACATAGACACATCATTATATGTGTGGTTTAAGAGTGATGCTGCACTGCATTAGCAGACAAACACAACTGCCATAGTCTCCCTCAGTTGTCACTTTGTGCAAGAGCACAGCAAGTGGAAGAGATGGGCTTTCTCAAGATGGTATAAAACCTGAGCTTTCTTTTTGTGGGAGCTTGTAAAGAAATGGAGACTGGCTTGATTCCCAAGAAATGTTCATCTCATCAGGAAGTTTCCATAGGAATTTAAACCAAGTATTTCATGGCTATGAAGCTGGTAGAAACATTTTAAAAGTTCATAAAGAAGAAACATTCATAAATGTTTTTCCCAATTGGTAATGTTAATGTCTTGGGATGAGGTGTGTGCATATGTACGTGCCTTTGGCACCACAGACATTTGTTTCAAAACATGTTATAAAATTAGAAAGCTTGTAGAAAGTTCCTAGGATAAAGAAAACCACTTGTCTTCCAGGCAGAGTGTATTCTTGAGAATGTGGAGTGTGTGAAATGATGATGAGGGATGTTTGAGGAGAAACATCTATAAACATGCTTACAGTGATCATCATTATGATGGAGAAATGGGGAGGAGGTATAAAAAGGGACTTGATTTATTAGGAGTTGTAAATTTTGCCTGCTGTAACCTGTGCTGTTACCCAAAGGGCTTTAGCTGCCCATGTCCCTAGGGCCCAGGACTCTGGGTTACAGGTTGTGTCCAGCTTCATGGCCTTGGCTCCTGAGGGGGAGCTGAGAGGAACTGCAGAAAAATAACAACAGTAAACTTGCAGGTAGCATTGTTGAGACAGGATCCTTAGTAGCTCAGAGATTCCAGAGGTAAATACCAATGCAGGGGATACAAAATCCTAACCTGGAAAAACAGGGAATCAAGTTGGGACAGGAATTGTTGGGTTATTAGGTCAAGTTGTTAGATAAAGCTGGAGGGTGGCAACTCAGCAATGTTCAGGGATGGGTCTTGGGAAGCTACAGAGGCTGACCCTTCCCAGCTGCCTGCCTTGCTAGCAGGGACTCCTCAGGTTCTTTATCAAAGGTGATGAACATATGAATGCTCAGCCAGTATCACATCCTCATCTTCATGGGTTAAGTGTTCTAAATTTTTGAGCTTGTACATCTTGACTACAGCTTCTTTCTGCCCCCACCTAAATTTGTCAGAACACAGTGACTCAAAAAAGGGCTGGTAAAAGAATAATTTAAGTGAGATTTTGATATTAGTTGTAAGGTTTTAGTTTTTACCCCCTGAATAAATAAAATTCAGTGAGTTAAGGGGTGCATCATGTATTTACCCCTGGCACTTGGGTTTATTTTGGAAGTATAACAAGAGTGCTGCAGTAGGCGTGTTCTGTCCTCAGAGAAGTTCATGGAGTGATATTTTAAACTTGGGCTGGTTCCAATGTTACTGATGCTTGAACCATTCATGGTGTGGGACTTCCTCAGCTGCAGCAAGGTCTGAGCTGTCAGGCCAGTAACACTGCTCTGTCCTGTCAAGTCACCATGGGCCTGTAACTTTCTTCTGTGGTGTGACCAAGATGTGCTCTCTACATCTGTGCTGTTCAGTACATCAGAGCCTGTTGACATGGAATGCCTGGGTGAAAATCACTTAGTTCTGGATTCTGGCTGTTTTAATTGTACTAAATGGCTTCTTGATTTACTTAGTTTGTACAGAGGTGACTTCTAGTCAGCTATCTACTCAATCTCTACTGTTATTTCAAGGCAATTCTGCCATCCTTTCTGAAGTGCCTTAAGTACTCCTCAGAAGAGTTCCTGTTCAGTGCTCAGCCTTAGCTATCCATGTCTGTTCCACTGTTCCCTGGTGAAATACTTTGATGCATGGTCCCAGCACACCTGCTGGGGTGGTGGTGGCATCTTCCTTATGTATCCCAAAGACAACTATGGGGTGAGAAGATCCTTCATGTTGGTTCAGTGTAGCCATTCCTAACTAAATGAGGTACACTGAAGATAAACAAAAAATGATAATGACTTATGATGGGTACTATAGCTCTTGAGAAGGAGGAGCAGCTTTCATACCAACACTGGTGGGGTTAGGATTTTCATTTTTCTTTGGCTTTCCTCAGATGCTGGAAGCATAAATGAAGCTCCTAAATGGTGCCTAGGTCATGAGGCAAAATTGATGAGGCTTGGACATACAGACTTAGACCATTCTTCTTGGTGCCTTCACTATTTCTTCAGTTCTTACCCTTTTCTACAATAAAAGAATATATTTGTTTCTGATATCCTGTTCTCTTTATTTTTCTTCCATACAATGTGGACTTAAACTTCAGCTTACTCAGACCCTGATGGTGCATTTATCTCTGTGTAAGATACCCAGGCATCCACAGAAATCCTTGACACTCTCAGAGGGGTTCAGAATGGCCAAAGTGTACATGCAGTACATTGCAGGGCTGGAACTTGACTTTGAAAGGAATATATCAGAGTTTAATAAAAGTTCTAAATGAAAGTAAGAATTATTTAGGCTTTTTCTTGAGTGATGAGTGACTTGTGATTAGTTACATGCTTCTTTTTAGAGACACTGTTGAAGTAGTATTACCACCTATTAAAATGAATGTGCCAGCTTTAAATTCATAATCAATTATCCTTTTACTTTTTATAGTTGTCTTCTCTGAGGAAGAGAGGGAACAGATGAGAAAGTTCACAAATAAATCTTATCTTCTGGATAAAAGAAGCCGTCATCATGTGTACCTTGGTTTAATTGATATCCTGCTGGCATATTGCTATGAAACCCGTGTCAACGAAGGAGAAAAGAATGTGAGTTAAAATAAATAGATAAAAATTTAGTATGTTTTAGGAACCTAGTGCTGGACCCTGTCCTGTCATTGAGGAGACTTAACTTTTAAAGTGAACTTACTTCCAAGCATTAAAAATACATGATTGAATAAGTTGAAATGAAAGTCAGAAGACGAATCAGAAGTCACAGATGTCTTCTTCTGTCTCTAGATCGAGCTGTTAGGATACATATGGGAACTAATGTGATTTCTAAATAATTCTGTTCTCCTGGAGCACCATTTTGGCTGTAGGAGAAAAGGGGAGTTGCAGGAGATTCCACACAGTTCTGTTTGTTTCTGATTTCTTCTCTATTGTAACATGTTTTCATTTATGTCAATTCAGATTTCACAACATAATTGTTCTTTTACCTTGTTGGTTCTTCCTTCAGTTCCATAGTAGGTATGTTTGGCTGTAATAACACCATTACTGATTTTGGATTCTGAAAAAGCATGGGAAATTGAGCCTATAGGACTGAAACTGTTTAATGTTTTATCTTGGCCACCATTATATGCCTTTAAAAAAACCCAAGGTTTTTAGTTGTTTTTCTTTTTTAAAGCTTATGCACAGAGTATGGAAGATGCTCCCTGAGGCATTCTGGAAGCCAGAGTGAGGCATTTAAAATTTTTAAAATTGACACACATTTAAAAAATAAAAAAATCCCAATGCAGATTGTTTTTTCTACTCTTCAGACACCTGAGGGAAGTAGGAAGGCATGTTTCCATTTCCAGGATTCTGGTGTTTGCCCATCTTTTACACAAGCAGCAGCCAGCTGTATTTTGTTCCCTGTCCTAGGCTTTTTACAGGATATGAAGAATTAAGAAGATGGCAGAAGTTTAGAGGGGATTCCATACTGTTCTGTGGATAGCTTACCTGTTTGGAGTGGCCTTGCTTCCCACATACAACCTTGTGCTTAGCACCTCCTCTGCTGATATTAACCACCAAGCTGTTTTCTCAGTGCTTTAAATCAAAATATTGGAAAATAGAAGCAAAACCTTTCTGTCTTAATGGGACTAAATTGCAGGGCATGGATTTTAGAATGGCTGGCAGAAGTGTCCAGCCCTGTTCATTCAGCAGAATAATCCAGGGTGGTGGTTGTGTTGCATGTTAGTGTTGCACAAAATTGCAAATATGCCAGGACCACAATGCTGCAATTCTTTATTGATCTTTGCAGTAACTGTTTTCTAGAGAAAACAGTGTGTTTTTTTCCTTTTTTTTCTTTAAATTCTCCACCCCTCCCTTCTAATAGTAAAACCAAGACATTCAGGCTACACAAATCTTTACTAGAGCCAAGGTTATAGATCAAGGCTTCCTGGCTTTTTACCCTAATCATCCCACTAGACCATACTACCACAGAAATACTATGAATCTGTCACATTTGAAGAATACTGACATTTTACATGTACTGCTGGCTTTAGGACCCTCTCTGAAAGCCAAAAGTCTTGAGCTGTTTTCACAAAATAAGGCATTTTAGCTTGAGCTTTGTTGAGTCAAGTTTCTGTTGTTTGCTGAGAAGGGACAGAATTTCACTAAAATACTGTTTTTCTGTGATTGCTGTTGTATTTTAAAGGCTTTGTGCATGGACTAAATATTCCCAATACAGAAACCAAATCAGTTACTTAACATCTGCATTACAATATAATTTTTAATGCTGTCCTGTGGCCGTTTCAATGCACGTAATATAATTACTGCTTCATATTCAGAAAGGTTCTTAAATTGCTGCCAGAATGTTATCTTAAATAGTTTGCCAGCAGTCTTGAATGTTGAATTAGATAATACTTATTTTACATTCTCTTCTTAAAATCAGGTTGAATCATCTTGGAACATCAGGAAACTGAGTGCAACATTGTGCTGGCTGGAGGTGAGTTGCAACCTAAGCTTTGCATTATTGTTTGCTGTATTATTTGGTTTTGGTGTTGTATATTGCTTTTGCAGAAAGCTTACTCCTTCTACATTGAAAATGAATTAAGTGTATGCCCTTGTTTTAATATATGTGACAAGAAATTGTGATTTCTAGGCGCCCAGCTACAAGTAGCCTCAAGAGGCCGGGTATGACCTCTCCTCTGGCAGGCTGCTGGCCCTTCTTCTGGTCCATTCTGGAAAAGCTGAGGTTAGGCACTACAAAAATGTTGCTTGTCTCCACACTGTTCCTTGCTTCTGGGCTTGGTTCACAAGTCCTGAGCTTTATTGAGGAAGTAGCTGTAATAATTCCTCACATCTGCCCACAGTATGTGTGTGCAACCCTATGCTTAGGGCATGAAAATAAAGCCTTCCAGCTCCTTGACCAGAAGTCATAAATATCTTCCTATTTGACTGGGTAAAGTGTGTTAAAATAGAAAAGGGCATAAAAAGCAGGGAATGTAATTTCTTAGTGTTCTTATGTCCTTTTAAGTCCTACCTCAGATAGAAGTTCTAATAACTTTTGAAGGTGACAGGCCTTAATAAAGCAGCTTATTGCTCGCTTCTGGGGGTTTTAACTGCTCAGCCTTTCTTCAGCCTTCCTGGTGTCATCATTCTGCACTTGGAGCTTGTTTTTTTTTCCTTGGCTGCAAATCAGGTGGCTTCAGGCTTCTCCATTCTGTCTGGCTTCAGAGTACATTGGAGATTGGAACTGGGAGGCCCAAAAGTAAATGCAAACCCAATGATAGGAAAAGCTCTTAGAACTCAATCAAAAGGTGCTGCTTTGTTTTTTTTACCTATCACGAAGAAGCTGAATTCTGTTTGTAGCAAAAAGCTGTCAGATCTGTAGCTGTAGAATGGTTGTCTCACAAAGTCTTTAATGTTTGTGTGATCTTCCAGACATGTGCTGAATACTTTTGTTGCAGGTCTCTTGCAGTCACTTTGGTGGGCACGTGTGTTGCTTTAGCTGCCCTCTTCTCAGCATTGTTGCCACATCCTTGTTTGTTCAGTTGCTCATAGCCCCTTGAAACCATCATGGACTAGAGGAAACAAAGTGAATTCTAAGCTAAACAGATTGCTTACTGAAAGCATGCAGGCTTGTCTAAGATGTTACAGAGCTGGAAGTGGAAGGGACTTAACCTGGCCTCTCATCTGTTATTTCTTATGATGGCAGCAAGCTGAAAAGGACCATCCATCCCCAGTCCTGAAATTACTGAGCCAAGCCTCAGTTTGCAGGATCAAAAACAAAGTTTGACAGGATTTTTGGGTTCAGTCCTTTGAATGTTTCTAGTAGTGGTGAATGTTATATTCAGTAATGACTTGTTTGATGACGACTGGTTTTTTTGATCTGTTAGTTTCCAGCTGAATGTTCTGCAGTAGCAAGTCACACAGGAGTGCAGTTAAGTGTAGGGATTGCTTTAACTCCCAAATCTTTTTCAGATCCATATCCCTGACATGGCAAAGGAGTTTTCTGCATGTGCTTACCCTATAATATAGCAGCTCTTGGCACAGCCTGTGCCAACAGTATATTTCACACCCAGGAAATTCAGTCTCCTGGCACCAAGCTGTTAATAGCTCTATCTGTTATACAAACCATGTAGGGGCGGGTGTTTTCATCAATCTGTAAACAAAATTGCCTCAGCTATGGTTTGTTTGAGCTGACTGCCATTTTGCTGTGCATGACATGTGCACACCTTAGACTCTTAAATATTAAATAACAAAACATAAATGATTTAGATGCTCACCGGTGATCCATGAAAATGAAAAATGGGTTGAGATAGTCACATAATGCAAAAAAGTGCTGGCTGTCAGCAAAGTGGTTTTATTAATTTGAGAGTTCAGGATGAAATAGGTATTTATATTTGAATTCACAAATGGAATATTTTGTCTTGAAAAGTGAAAGCTGAAAAGGAAATCACTCTCTTAAAGTCTTTAATAACCCATTAATGCCTCTGGCCTGAGTACATGAGAGGTCTTCCTCACCCATAAAGGAGGACAATGAACTGCTTTCCCTAGGCAGATATATTTATCCCTGTCTTGAGTATCTATAATCTTCATGAAAGGCAGAGTCATGTATCATTCTTAAAGTTCTTACATGTACACATGTATTTTGTTAATATCATGTGGTTTTAATTTTAATTTATTCTTAAAAGGCTTTTTATAGCTTCCCCTTAAAATATATAATAATGTGAGACAGATGTAATTTATTACTTTAATCTAAAGAATGGCATAGTCTTGAGTTAGATATTTTATTTCTAATGCTCTCTACATTCTTTTTTAAATCAAACCCACTAAAATGTATAGGACTTCTGTTATCCTGCCATGTAAACTAAACTGTGTGGTGTCTCATTTCTGTTTAACATATTGATGTCCATATATGTTAACATTCAGCTTTTTAGATGCATAATGTATAAAAATGTGCTTTTTTTCCTGTTCTGCTATGACTTTTGTCCTTAAAGGAAGACAAACAAAAACCTAAATCTTTGCATTGAAGAGCACATGGACTAATTCAGATTTTTCACTGATACACACAGAGTTTCACTAGCATTCATGACGTCCTGGTATCTTTTGGGAGGAGAGTGCTATGCTATCCCCTGCACAGACATTTTGGATTGGTGACACGTGCCTTCAACGATACAGTTATGATACTGCAACTAGGTAAGATTTTTAGGGATTGGAAGTGATTGCTATATGGCCACATTGTTTCTATGTCTGGTGGTTTTTAATAGCTTCTGAATCCTTTGGCCAGTTTCACCCAAAGTTGTTAGTTACCGACATTTTTGGGTGTCTTGTGGTCTGGTGAAAATGGGCTGGGGAGAGAAGAGAACAAAATTAGTTTCCATACCAGGGAGAAGCCCCTGAAGCACTTCACTTATTAGGGAGCACGTGATACGTGCAGTTGTGGTGTAAATTCAGCTGTATTGTTCACACCAGAAAATCTACACAGAGCAAACGTTAACAATGTCTCATCCTTAGAAATATGTTTGCTCTGATCTTGTATCCTGATAAATCAGGATAGTCCAAATGTGATTTGTAAAGCTTTAGAGAAATGATCTTCAGAGTATTTTTATCTTTATTTGTCTGTAAAGAGGTTTTTCTGTTGGAAAAGAACATCTTAAGGAAGCTTTTGTTATGGTAGGTTAGATATTCTAATTTTTGTAGACTCTATTGTAAAGATGCCTAAATTTTTATTTCAAAGCAAGGTCACTTACTGTTACAAGTACAGCAGCAGTCCTGTTGTTTTCTGTTCTTCATTGTGTTCTTTAATCACCTGACTGAAACCCTGTTAAGAGAGATTGGAAGGATTTCTAATAAATTCATGTTTTGTCTCCATCTAAGGGAAGTTTTTAAACTTCTTCATCATTTTCAATTGTTCTGACTGTTCTGTTTAGGTTCTGCTCGTCGTTGCTTTGCAGTTGCAAATCTGGGCAGCTTCCCTACATGATTTGCTGTTTGGAAGAACTTTTGTTTTAATTTAACCTTTGTCAGTGATGTTAGGATTTTGACAGAAATATTACCCTAATGTTCAATTCCTGCTCTCCTTCCTAGTTCTTTTTCTAGAATTAGATCTGTTTTGTTTTGTTATGGTTTGTAAACTGAGTCCATTAAATATTTTGTTTTTTCCTTTTCCAAATAACTGGATTGGATATCTAGCATCTTAATTCCTAAACTATTCCATTGTGTGTGCCAGTTTAGTGTTGCTGTACAGAATCACACATGAGGGCAAGGGGTCGTTCTGTGGTTCATATTTAGTGTTACAGTTCTATTTAAGGCAAGATAGTTAAGGTGACTGTGTGGTAAATCCAGCAATAGTCTGGGAAGAATAGAAATCCTGAGTTTGTATCAGCAGCAAAACTTGTTTTACATCGTTGTTCTTTAGTACTTTCTATATAATTCCTTGCCCTTTAGGAGCAGAGGCCAAAAATTCTGACTTGAATATGTTATCTTAGTTCTCTGCTTGTTAGTAGGGAAATAGGACAGTTCTAGAGCTGTTCATAAAAAACAAGCAGTGAATGCCATGAAAGCTATTCTGTTGAAAAATTAATAAATAGCAATTCATCTTTTTTTAATTTAAAACTGAAGAATAAAACCCTGACTACCCACCAGATATTTGTAGCTTTGTTTTGTTTCACATTTGGGAGTGGGGCTGTCCTGATCTTAATGACTGGAAGTGATTCAGCAGCAGCATTCTTTTTATGTATTTCCCTGTTTGTCCCAGGCAGCTTTCATGTAACAATTCAAATTTTCAAACCTCTAATTATTCCACCTTCAGTTGTGCAATTGTACACAACCAGGGTGGCATCTTGTGTTGTTGAAGTTACTTGCAACTTTTCTATTTCTTGTGAGTTATTACTTTCAGAAGAGAACATTGTTAGATGTTTTTTTTTTTAGGACAGAAGAGTCACTGAGAAGCAGCACTTCAGTGGTTTATTTCCAAATTGTGAGCTGCAGGATTAAAAAAAAACACCAACCAACCAACCAAAAAAAAAACCCAACTCACAAACAACAATATTAATCCCTACTACTGCCAAAAACTTGATGAATCAAAATACCATTTACTGTACAACAGGCAGGTAGTGGGATTTGATGGGGAAAACACTTGCTGTCCCCATTTACCTTCCCTGGCTTATGCTGCTGTTCATAAATGTGAAAAAGGAAAATTCTGATAATGCTGAAGTTGTGCAGGGCTGCCAACCTCTTACTTTTGTTTTTCTTTTTTCTTAAGAGAATAGTATGTAAGAGGTAAACTTATAGCTTTTCTTTTAACATCATGATGGAAAGTGGTATTGGAGTCAACAGTCAATAACCCAACAAAATATTTTCAGTAGTTTAGGGAAGGTGGCACCTACAATAACTGTGTGTCAGGTTTCCTACTTCATCCTATGCTGGCTACGTGGCTGCAGTTGCCTTCCTGCTCTGCTTCCAAAATACAGTGGCCCCAGTAGTGCTTATTGTTGTGGTGTCCCTGTGCCACCCAAGGTGGTCTTGCTCCAAGAGCAAGGTCCCAGTCTCCTGTGGAGGAGCAGCTTGGGCATGCAAACTCATTTGCTGCTGGAGAGGGAGATAGACTAGCTCCTGTTTTTTCTGACCTCGCTGATTTGCATAACAATTACTGCCGTAAGCTTTAAGAAGAAATTCCAACTTTATTAGGTGGATGTTTTGAATGGTTGAGAAGCAGTGGAAGAAGCTAAGAGCTGCAGCAGGTCTGGCTTCATTCTGAGCATGTCTGTGTTGTGCTGGTTGCCTGGGAAACAGTGCAGGCTGAGGTGACCACCGCCTCCTCAGGGCCAGCCCTGCATCCTCCAGGCACTGTCGAGGCATGTGAAAGCCTCCAGAAGATGTGTGCCTGTTTCAACTGGTGGTGCTGATGAGGGAGAAGAGGACACTGCCTCAAGTATGAGGTGTGATAATCTCCAGGTGCTGCCTAGGGAGCAGCAGACACAAATAGACTATTACTTCCTTCATGTGGACAGAAATCATAGAATCATTAAGGTTGGAAAAGACATTTAAGATCATCAGGTCCAACCATCATCAACCTAACACCCAAATTGGGAGGGCCATTAGCAAGTTAGCAGTGTAGTCCTAGAAGTAATGGTGATTAATGGTAAATTCTCAAAGTTCTGGGATTTGTGTGACAAATAGTATGCACTGTTAGGGTGTGTGTATAGTGTGGAAAGTGCTGAGGTTAAGTAACCAACTGCCAAAGAATTGGGAAAGATGCAAAATGGATGTATTACCTGTCTGTACCCAAGCAAGGGAGGGGAAAAAGTGTCTGTCTTAAACAGATTTGTAGCTAATGTGTCTGTTGCCAAGGCACATTTTTTCAGTGAAAATGTTTCCTGCTTCAGACCCCAGCAGAAGCTGAGCTGTGCTTTGAAGGACTTTCTGGATTTGGAGAATGCTCAGCAAGCTGCCAAGTGCAAAGCATACTAGGTGTGGATAGTGTTAAATGCTCATGTCATCCTCTGAGCTTACTGGAAATGGTGCCTCACCAGCCTGGCACTGTATTGCAATAGCTGGGTGATGAACACAGGTAAAAATGACTGTCCATTGACAGATAATTACCTTAATTAAATACTGTCACAAAAAAACTATTCCTTTTCACGTAGCTGCAGGAGGAGTAAGTGTTTAGCTTAAAGGAACAACCCTTTGAGTCAATCTCATCTGGACTTCAGGTTTCTTTCAGGATGCTGGTAAGGGAAGCTGATACATAGTGTATTACAATGTTTTGATAATAATGAGCACAGTAAACTAATTTATTTAAAAATATTAATTCTTATGGGCCTGAATTGTTAAGCCTCAAGTTCTGTGACTTGACTTTAAAAAGTTAGTGCTGTGTTGGTGGATCACTCCCAAGGTACAGGATACTGCATTTTTAAGCTGTTAAGGACCTTTGTGTGTGGTTGAAACACTTTATTTTTGCATTAAGACTTCCTGCCAAAGTGTTAATTATAACACAAATGCATTAAGCTGATTAATGTTGAGGTCCTCAGCAGATTTTTCTCATATGCTGTTTTAGTGATCTATAATACTTGAAATACTTGAGCAGAACTGTTTGAAATTCAGCATAGTTATCTGGGATATCTACTGTATTTATTTGTCCTTTGGATAGGATTTAAAAAGGGAATGACACACTGGTACAGCCAGCTACAAGGCTATTTCCAACAGTGTGCCACAGTTGACTGACAAAACTTTATCAGGTCTGTTTATGTGAATATGTGGAGCCCTTTTTCTTGTCAGTAGACCTGCAATAAGTCAGTGGTGTGGACTGGTTCTGTCAGTATTTGCTGACACTCTGTTACCATTTGTCCTGGTTTGGGGTAGGACAGAACTAATTCTGTTCAGTGATTTTACTTTTCAGCTATAACTCTTCTAATTAACTGCACTTGCTGAACTTCACAGCATATTTTTGCAGACAGCATCTGCTTCTAGCACTGATAATGCTCCATGTTTAGAGTTACCACCAAGGACTGGTATGCAGAGCAAGGTCACTGCTAAAGCTTGTGAAAAGGGGGGCAGAAAATAAAGGCCACACCTGCAGAGTGCTCTGCTCCAGTTGGCTCTGTGGTTTCACAAGTACTTGCCCTGGCACCTCACAAAGAGCTGTGGGAAAGAGGGAGGCAGAGGAGTGCAACAAGGAGCACTTCAGCCAGCCTGAGTAATGATACTAGTGAAAACAACCACAGCCACAAAGTCAAGACCAGATATCTACTGCAGTAGGTATCCAAAGACAGAACCTATGGTGTGGCATTTCACAGAAATAGGCCAAGAATCATCTGTGTGTTATGGAATATCCTACATTAAGGCTTAAACAATGGTTGCTTTTCAGCTAATATTTTTTATTCTGTGCTAAGGAGTTCAATGCAGTTTTCTGTGAGGACATCTTGCTCGTAGGGGGCATATTCTGAAAGCAGAAGTTTGGTGGCTTGCTGTGCTCTGTGTGTAGGGTTCCCCATTTCATCAAGTCTGACTAGATTTTCAACCTTTCTGAATAAAAGCCTATTAAGCTACTATAATTTTCTACTTCAATTTATGAAGAAAGATTATCTTTTATTAAGAGTTAGTGTTACAGTCACTAATTGACATAATTACTTGGCAGATGAGTAACAGTAGTGAATGTTGTAAATGATTTGGGCTGGCAGCTTGACAGCTAGAACCTTAAAAAATTAGTAAAATTTTAATTCCACACATCATTTCTTTTTAAAAGAGCACACTTCTTTTTAGTCAAAATAGTTAATTTGACAAGCTGGGCTTGACAAGTGTTACTGGTGATACAATCTCAAAGTTCATTAGGCATTTGGGGGATTTTATTTTCTTTCCTGACTTTTCTTCAGTTGGTCTCTTCCAAACCAGTGCATTTTTCAGTTCTGTTTGCCACAGCTTTTTACTCTCCATGTTCTTTCTTCTCACTGACATCTTCCACATCCTTTATTTGTCATTCTCTGTCCATAATTTTACAGCATGGAATTACCTAAAACCAAATAAATAAATGTTGTGCTTGAACAGCAGGGGGAGTTCTGATCTTTTTCTTTCCTTTTTTTTTTTTTTTTTTTTCCAAATCAGTAAAATGTAATTTCATCCGTGTTCAGGTTTCATAGCCTAGGAGGAGCCAGCCTCTTGGGAGAGGGTTATTAGATTCCATTTGCAGTAGTGGCTGTTTTCATTTGAATGTGTTTTTTTTTTCCCCCTCATTAAACAGTGAAAATAATTATTTTTTTTAGTGTACCAGCACTTAACCCTTTGGGAACTTCTGTCAGAAGACTGAGAGAGGAGATTCCACCTAATGGGAGTTTACATTAATCAGTTCTCTTCTTCATAAATAGTTGTTCCATATGAAGAAAATTAAACTGACTACAGAAAGATTTCTGTTTGTGGAATGATAAAATGAATATTCAGGTTGTTAATCTTTTACTGCATTTATCAACTGTATGTCAGATGTTACCTTCTTGAGCCTAAAGGGAATTTTTCTTTCTGGGAGCTCAATTTGCCTAATTATTCTGTAACTAACAAAA